TGTCGTGGTCTCTGCGAATTTTAGCATATTTCTAATACATTTTTAAATATATAAAATACAGCTCAGAAATACCTTTGCCATTTTTTTAAATCAGTTCAGATTTGGTTAAAGCTCATATATTAAAATTCATTGAGCACCAAGAGATTGATGTCCAATCGAATTCAGCCTGGAAGAAATTATATTAAATTTGGTAAAAAATCGGTTTAGATTAAGATATGTCCCTCCCCTTGGACCAATATTCAAAATGGTGTAAATTTCAAATAAAAAAAGGATTGAACCAATAAGCAGTAGTAATAAATTTTCAAACAAAAAAAAAACACAAGTAAGCAAAGGCTATACAGGGTGAGATAAAAAAACTGCAACAAAGTCAAACGCCATAAAGCAAGGAACCTCATTTTGCATTCATTCATGGATGGCGAGTGCTGAGTCTTGTTTGAATGTCCAAGGTCTGTGGCCAAAATGTTTGCATGTCCAAGGCTTCAATACACCTTCCAAATTATTTTCATGGTCGATTAATACGAGCGGAGAGCGACCATCGCCTGTTATGGCGGCCCACACCATCACCATGGCCGGCACTTAAGTTCTGGTGGCCAACCGAATGTGCACATTTTCAGCAGACCTCTTTGGCAAGTAAACGCGATCATTTTGTTTGTTTACAAACTGCTAAACAACAAATGTTTTCTTATCGGTGAAAACCAAATTCAACAGTTCACCACTTTCGGCCAAGCGAAGCAAATCTTCAGCTCTTTTAAGTCTATTTTCTTTCTGGTGCGGTGTAAGTTTTTGCACATTTTGGAATTTCATTGGCTTTTTGGAGCTCATTTTTCAATATTTGGCGAATGGTATGTTGCGATGCGGGTTTCGATCAAGTCGCTTCTTTACTTTTCGAACCATTCCTGCTGATGTTGCTGTTTTCTTCCGTCCACTTCCTTGACCTTGGGCTACGCTACCCGCTACCAGTATAACGGTAACGAGCGATGGTACGGGAAATCACACTATCACGCTTGAATTCCATCACGAATAACTTTTTTTCTGGTAAATTCTCACCAAGATGCTTCTGCACGCTTGTAAATAATATAATTAGCTGTCACTGGAATAATTTTAAGAGCTGTCGAGCGTGTGGCTTAGAACTGACAGCAGCCTGAAGTTGGCTGCAGTTTTTTCATCTTCCCCTGTAGTGTAGTAAGGTGAGAAAATATTAACAAACGTAAATAAAAATTGTGACAAAATATATAAAATATAAAAAAAATATTCATTTTTTCATTGACACATTTTCACGCGATTTTCATAGATTTTATCCTTTTCCAAATTTGTGAGAATTGTCAAATATCTTGGATATGGGCATCAATGTAATAGTCCGAAGTGAAATTTTCGTGCATTTGTGATTCCGCCAGTTTTGAAAATATTCGGGGTTTTTGTGTATATTTTTACAAAAAAGTTATGATCCATTTTGCCCGCTATTGTCTGATGGCCAAACAAAATGGTGGTGTTACATATAATACCCCAACTTATAATACTCCCAACACATAGTGTTGTAGGGTATAAAAAGGTATTTGCCGAACCCCATACATTCCCAATTTAATTTAGCGTAGACATAGTGTCGTTACTTCCATCATTTCCATTTTCAATTACCATCCATTGTCAAAACACACAATTTTCAATTATTGTTTGCATAACCATAATATATTTAGAGCCATGAATTTTGCACGACAAATACCGCGCTTTGTGTTGCTCCAGACATTAAATTAAAAATTAACAGAGAGCTTAGATATGCAACAAAATGTGGAGGATATTATTGCACAATACAACAACAGGCAAGGCAATTTCCTAATATTTCAATCTTCTTGTCTTTGTTTTTACCAACCACGAGTCATCATACCTTTCGGCATTATTAGCCATTATGCTGTCAGACACCTTAATTATGATTTAATTTGGCTTACCATTTAATCCTGTCAATTGTAGACAGTGAAATATATGATCCCCATAAGCTTTGGCTCATAAGACATCTAATGAAGATTTAATTCGATTTTTTAAATTTTTGTCAATATACTAATTATTATTTTTATTTTTTGAGATAAATGTTGGAATAGTTGCTGTGGCGACAAAAATAAGTTCAAGATCAATCAGTTCAATTTAAATAATCTAATTTTTCCATGATTCAAATAATTATGGTATTAATGCCATCTACAACGCATGCCATTCAATTTGTAGAGTATTTGATTGTGAGAGCGGCTATTTGGTTTGTGTCACGGATAAAATACAAAGTAATTGCCAGTTGTAAATTTAAATTTATCACCATAACACAGGGTGCCATGAGGCAATTTTTCTAGTAATTTTTTTTAAAAAAGTTTTCGATTTTTTTTTGTTTATCAGTAGTGGAATTCCCCTACTCATTGTACCCGACACCATATTGTGGTAAAAGGTATTTTGTTTTTGTGTGTTTGTTTGTAACACGCTAAAGGGAATTTTGTGCTGAAATTTCATCGTTTCTTTGTTTGGCCCAAGAATGAACCCTATTGAAATTTGTGATAATCAGACCAGATTTAAATATACCTAGCAGTAATTTGAATATCCAAAATATGTGTGGATCGAAAATATGTGATGTCATGTGTACTGTACTCGAAATGTGTTTTATCAGTCCTAATTTGTTAAACTTTAACACATACGAACGAATTTAGGCAAGGAGCAAATATGTCAAAATTAGTGAAAATTGGTTCTGATATTGTCATAGCTCTCGCATAAAAATGTAATCGAATTTCATATTTATATTCTCCGCTATACTAATATGCGTTCCATAACAATGACATTTGGTACCAGGTTTCAGATATGGCCGATAAATAGTCTTGACGAATTTTGAATTGATTTAGATTTGGATTTAACCCCCATATATGTCATTATCAGATTTCAAGTATGTATATTGTTTACCCGATGTGGACCTTAACCCAAATAGTATACACGTTGCAGATTCTACTAGCATATATGCAAGTATGTCACATGTGATGAAAATCGGTTCACATCGGTGCAGCTTCCATATACAGGGTGAGATAAAAATCTGCAACATAGTCAAACGCCATAATTCTTAATTTTTTTTCAATTTTTTTGAATGAAACCAAAAAATATCGGAAATAGAATATTTTTTTAGAATATGTTCAGATTTGTTCGAATTCGTCACTTTTGTCACGAATTATGGCCTTCAAACGGCCAATGAAACTGTCACACGCTGCCTGAATGTAGCTCTGCGCTATTTTGGTCCATTCCCGGCGAAGCGCTTGCTTGAGGTGATCGACACTTTGGTATTTTTTAGTACCAACCTTGCTTTCCAAAATAATTTAGTAAATTTAGATTTGTTCGAATTGGTCACCTTTGGCACGAATAATGGCCTTCTAACGGCCAATGAAACTATCTAATGCTGTCTGAATGTTGCTCTGCGGTATTTTGGTCCATTCGCGCCGAAACGCTTCCTTGAGGTGATCGACACTTTGATATTTTTTAGTGTCAACCTTGCTTTCCAAAATACTCCAGACACAATCGTCCAACGGATTGGTATCCGGAGATTTTGGAAATGACGCGAGGAACCTCATTTTGTAACCATTCTTGGGTGGCGCGTACTGAGTGCAATGGTGCTGAGTCCTGTTGGAATGTCCAAGATCTGCGGCCAAAATGTTTGCGTGCCCAAGGCTTTAATACACCTCCAGAATATTTTCACGATAATATTCGGCATTTATTCTGATGACACGGTCGATTAATACGAGCGGAGAGCGACAATCGGCTGTTATGGCGGCCCACACCATCACCATGGCCGGCGCTTGTGTCCTGGTGGCCAACCGAAGGTACACAATTTCAGCTGACCTCTTTGGCAGGTAAACACGACCATTTTGTTTGTTTACAAATTGCTGGACAACGAATATTTTCTCATCAGAGAAAACCAAATTCGGCAATTTAACACTTTCGGCCAAGCGAAGCAACTCTTTAGCTCTTTTGAGTCTATTTTCTTTCCGTTGCGGTGTAAGTTTTTGCACTTTTTGGAATTTCAATGGGTTTACCCCGAGCTCATTTTTCAATATTTGCTGAATGGAATATTGCGATATGTTCAGCTCACGAACTATTATTCGCCCACTGCAACGCGGGTTTCGGTCAAGTCGCTTCTTTACTTTTCAAACCATTTCTGCTGATGTTGTTGTTTTCTTCCGTCCAATTTCTTGACGTCGGCCTACGCTACCAGTATCACGTTAACGAGGGATAGTACGAGACATAAAAGATTTATTCAAATTTAAATGCTGGATAGCCACTTGTGGTTTTCCAGCCAAATATAAAGAAATCACACTATCATGCTTGAATTCCATCCCGAATAACTTTTTTCTGGAAAATTCTCACCAAAATGCTTTTGTACGCTTGTCACTGGAATAATTTTAACAGTTGTCGGACGAGTGGCTTAGAAATGGCAGCAGTCTGAAGTTGGTTGCAGTTTTTTCATCGCAAACTGTACCGGATAAGGTCTATCATGAATATTTCGAGGAGTTACAAACGTAATAACAAAGCTAAAAAAAGGTGGAGGGCATAGAAAAGAAAGATAATAACAAATTTTACCACATAATTTATTTTAATCGAACCAACATTTAATCCCATAATTATTTGGTTTTTATTTTTTAATTAAAAGTTTCATAAAAACAATTTTCGAATTATTCCTTCTTTTGTTGCGTTTCTTCTCTTTTTATTTCACGTTACTTCGCCATTAACTACAACTTTATAACAAAACAAATCCACTGCCACCGAAATACAACTCTGAATAGTAAACAAAACGGAAGCGCCAATACAGTCACAACAGAGACAGCTGCACGACGTGTATTATTTTTGGCTCTCTACAACAACAACAACAAAGCCAAAATATCTGTACTCATCTCTACTACACGACAACTAGCCAGCCCCGTCAGTTTATATTTTTCCGTCGTTGCATTTCGTTCGTGGTATCGGTAGAATTCGTGTGTTAATTTTACTCGAATCAAAAACTAAACAATTTCAAAAAATCAAAACGCTTACGAATTTCCGTGCGTGGTGAAATCATAAATCGTTTTTAACACATCGACGAGGAGGAAGAAGGAGAAACCAAATCAATTCAGTGTGCAAAACGCCAGGGAAAAAAGTATGTGTGGCTGCGAGTTTTAAATAAATTCACAAAATACTACAAATAGCAAAAAAAAAAAAAACAGTGAAATAAAAATACCAAAGAGAAGAATACTATGATGAAGTGTGTGACAAAATGAAAACAACAATAAAGTGGGGAAGATGTAGAAGTTGAAAAGTAAAGAGTTGCTTGGCAAATAAAAACAACAGGTTTTGCTTGTCGGGCAATTCTATTGGCATTTCAAGTTGTGGATAAAATAATAGCAACAAAAACAACATCGGCGCAAGTATTTGTATTTGCTTTTTCAGGAAACAGGAATGCAGGGCAAAAAAGCAAAATTGTCCTGCTAAAAAAGTAGCCCGTGGAATGGAATGCAAAAATATGTTTGAGTTTACACTGCGAAAAAATTGGCTCTCGATGACCTAAAAATAAGTAGTGGAACCAAATTGCATAATTTGATTTGAGTAATTGAAATTGTTGTATTGGTATTACAAAATAGCTGACGTCAATTACATGTACTTGAGATGTTTATTTATCATCTGGAAATCTCGAAATATGTTGCAATTCATTCGCTGTGTGTTGTTAACACAAACAAAAGCAATAGCTCCCAGTAGTATTATAGCAGAATAGCGCCTGCGTAATTGATTTAAATTTGTTATTGCTTTATTTTTATTAAAGATAATTAGTAATTCCAACTAAAGATCATTAACCGCCAAGCCGAAAGAAATACAAATTTGAAGGTAATCTGTGATCTTTGAGATGTGTCAAAAGAAGAGACGAACAGCAAAATGACGTCATTTGCCAAAAATCAATGATCATTCCCCCAAGAAAAAACATTGAAATACGTACTCGCACACACACAGAGACGGGCATCTATATATCTACAACATAGATGCCCAGTAGTGGCTGATTTCAGCAATTTCAACTCACACGTATTCTTACGCTCTTTTGTTTGATCGTCAATCAACCAATAAGAAAGCAGAAATATGAGTGGGAGAGATAAGCTACACAGGCAGAAGTTTTGTGTAATATTTACATTTAATCGTAATCGAGACTGGCGTTAGTGAACACATAAACTGAAAATTATTGCGATATGTCAATGATGTCTTTTGAAAAGTATTTTATGCTACAAAATGCTTTTGATGATATGCAATGTATTATATGTTATAAGACATTAAAAAAAAAAGAAATATAATTTAAAAAAACTGTTCATAAAGACATGAATTTTTTGCAGGGGGAAGAAAAAGAAAAACAATTTAAAATGTATAAGAAATTTTTTATAAAAAAGTTGAAGGAATGGGTAAATCAATATAGAGATAATGATGAAGATATGGTGGAGGAGAATTTAAACTTAATAAGTTTATATATTATAAAAAAGGGAAGGCCATTTTCAGATGGGCCGTTTGTCAAAAATATATTGTGTCAAGTTTTTCAAAAAATTTTATTCATTACTTTTTAATTGCAAATTTAATAGTGATTAATTATTTCTGAAAAAAACAATAATTTCCATTTCTTTTTTTTTTTTTTTGGTTGTTTGTTATAATTACGTATTTTATTTATATATATATATATATATATATATATATATATAGAAAAAGAAAAAAAAATGACGACACCCGCCACACATGTGCTTTCGTCGCTATCTCGTTGACGACTAAATAAAATGAATAGAAAAATCTTTTCTTCCAGTGTTATTTCGTCGCTCTCACCAATACTACTACATTGGGCATCTATGATCTACAAACATGACAACTAATCTAATTCATTTTCTTGTGGAGGAGAACAAACAAGCTCCCATTTTATTGTTGATGCTCTGCTCTTCATCGGCTAACAGATGTTTTTCTTTCTTGATCATTCGTTTGCTTTATTATTGTCTATTTCCATTCTATTTATTTCACACCTTTCCCCAGTGGCCGCAGCACAAAGATGTTGATTGTTGTTGTTGATATTTAGCACATAATTGTTATTGTAGGAGAGAGGAGAGAGACCCTATTCCCCTCGTTTAATTCAGTGCTCTTCCTCTCTTACTGTAATTGAAACAGGGCTGTCTCTTTGTGAATGGATATTTCATAGATGCCCAATGTAGTAGTATTGGTGAGAGCGACGAAATAACACTGGAAGAAAAGATTTTTCTATTCATTTTATTTAGTCGTCAACGAGATAGCGACGAAAGCACATGTGTGGCGGGTGTCGTCATTTTTTTTTCTTTTTCTATATATATATATATATATATATATATATATATATATATATAAATAAAATACGTAATTATAACAAACAACCAAAAAAAAAAAAAAAGAAATGGAAATTATTGTTTTTTTCAGAAATAATTAATCACTATTAAATTTGCAATTAAAAAGTAATGAATAAAATTTTTTGAAAAACTTGACACAATATATTTTTGACAAACGGCCCATCTGAAAATGGCCTTCCCTTTTTTATAATATATAAACTTATTAAGTTTAAATTCTCCTCCACCATATCTTCATCATTATCTCTATATTGATTTACCCATTCCTTCAACTTTTTTATAAAAAATTTCTTATACATTTTAAATTGTTTTTCTTTTTCTTCCCCCTGCAAAAAATTCATGTCTTTATGAACAGTTTTTTTAAATTATATTTCTTTTTTTTTTAATGTCTTATAACATATAATACATTGCATATCATCAAAAGCATTTTGTAGCATAAAATACTTTTCAAAAGACATCATTGACATATCGCAATAATTTTCAGTTTATGTGTTCACTAACGCCAGTCTCGATTACGATTAAATGTAAATATTACACAAAACTTCTGCCTGTGTAGCTTATCTCTCCCACTCATATTTCTGCTTTCTTATTGGTTGATTGACGATCAAACAAAAGAGCGTAAGAATACGTGTGAGTTGAAATTGCTGAAATCAGCCACTACTGGGCATCTATGGGATATTTGGTTATTATTAGAGGGTAATTTTTGTGTTATTTTTTTTAAAGAAATTGTACTCTAGGTACAAATGTCCCTATGTCAAAAAGTTTGGAAAGTGGCTGATTACATACGTGTTATAAATAAGATCCATTCATAGTGTAGTGCATAGTATTTTTAGACATGGATGTTTAATGCTGTATTTTTAGATAGATGTGAATCAGTCAGCTATACAACTAAGAAAGGTAGAATAATATTGAAAGTAGGGGCTTTGAGATTTTTATTTACGAATAACTCAGTTTTTAGCTATTACCTTTTTGGCAACACTTGTTTAAACAGCTCACACACTTTTCGTTTTTTGTATCACTGTCAAACTGTTTCTGTTTCGTCTATAATTTAACCATGAATCGTCTTATAAAAGAACAACATTTACAAAACATTAAATTTTGTTATCACAATGTTAAGAATCTGTTAAGGAAATTTATCGCGCTTTTCTTCCATGTTAGGGCACTGAAGCGCTCATTCGAGCTATTGTGACTACATTTCGTAAAAAATGTACATTGTTGGGCATTAAACCACCAAGATTCTTACAAAAAAAAATGCAAACTGAAGAAAATATCACACCTGTTACTCAAAAACGTGGAAAATTAATGAAAAAAAAAAAAAATACAGCTGATGCAAGAACCACCTACCGCAAGGCAGAATTTTTGTTGAAAAGTAGGCCGAATATTCACTTTTTTATCGAAATATTTTGTCCAGCGACGAAGTTTGTTTTTTAGCAGAATTGTCGGTTTTGAAGCGAAAATCAGCTAAAAGCATTTTATACCCTCCACCATACTATGGAGGGTATATTAATTTTGTCATTCCGTTTGTTACTCCTCGAAATACTCATGTCAGACCCAACAAAGTATATATATTCTTGATCAGCGTAAAATTCTAAGACGATTTAGCCATGTCCGTCTGTGTGTCTGTCTGTCCGCCTGTTGCAATCACGCTATCTTTCGAACAAATTGAGATAGAAGGCTAAAATTTTGCACACATGTATAATTTGCCAGTAGGCAGGTTAAGTTCGTAAATGCGCCATGTAGGTCCAAGTTATCATATAGCCCCCATTTTAGCGACATTATTCACCGGAATCGTTCCAAATTTGGTATTTGAAGTTCGTAATAGATACTGCAGCATAAAACAGAAAATGGACCATGTAGGTCCACGTCTTCGTATAGCCCCCATATACCGTACCCCCGATATTCGGTATTTTGATGATTTTAGCGAAATTATTTACCGGGATTGTTTCAAATTTCACATGTGAAGTTCGTAATGGATACTTCAGCCCATTTCAGAAAATTGTCTGTACAGGTCCACGTCTTCGTATAGCCCCCATATAACGGTATTTTTATAAACAGATTTTTCTTCAAGTGTCGCATTTAAATATTGTAATAACTTATGACAAAAGTTGCCTATGTAGGTCCACGTCGTCGTATAGGCATTCGGTATTTTTAAGATTTTAACAGAGGATAGTGGAGGATATTGAAAGTTCGGCCCGGCCGAACGTACAGCTTTTTTATTTGATTAAAGCTGCCAATGCATCCAGAAAAAGTTACAGTATGGTGCGGTTTATGGGCTAAAGGCATCATTGGACTGTACTTCTTTAAAGATGCTGTGAATCTTAACGTAACTGACATTCAACTTTTTTTTGCACGAGTTTAACTTGCATGGCATGAGGTTTCAAAAAGACGGTAAACGTAAACAATGGGCTTATTGAAAGCGAGCTATACGAAGACGTCGGCCTGCATATGTAATTTATTGTCATAGGCTGTGGTACCCTTGTTTGATCCTTAGATCAAACTGTAGGCTCTTATATAGCCTCAATCATACAAAAATTGACTTAAATCGTCATAGTATCGAATATCTGGAAGTATCGTTATATGGGAGCTACATGAGAACCTATACTAACATAGCAACACTAAACACTTTAGACACAATCCTAAATATTATGCTAAGTTTTGGAAGCTCGACGACGAACAATATGTGCTGTATCTTAATTTCAATAGTTGCGCGTCTGCATTACGATTTTATGCTGGTAACGAACATATCGCGCGTCTACGAAAGAATGCA